CTCAGCGCGGCCTGGACGGTCTTGAGCTGCTTGTCGATGTCGTGGACAAACTCGGCGGTCAGGCTCTCCTCGATGAGGGTGAAGTTCCGGGTGAGGGTCTCCGGCAGGAAGAACATGATGCTGACTCCTCCGGCCAGGGGCAGCTGGCCGATCTGCAACGTCCGGGGGGGAGGGGGAGTGGGCGGGGGGGGAGGGGGCCCGGCCCTCCCGGGGGGGGGGTGGGGAGAGGGAAGGGGGCCAGTGAAGCCCCCGGGCAGCCGTGTTTCCCCAGTCGGGGGCCCCCTCCTGGCCTCTGACCTTGCAGCCGAGTTCGGAGTCGAAGCCGTACTTCAGGATGGCTCTGGGGGCCGACATCATGGGCACCCTCGTGCTCCGGCCTTCCTCCAGGTGGAAGTCCTGAGGCCTGGTCAGCTTGGGGTCAAACCTGGTGGCCCACTGCCCTGTGGCCGGAGGGGAAGGAGCAACCAAGTGGGGGGGGGGCGCTCTCCCTCCAGGCGGCCACCCCTCCTTCCCCTCCCCCGGCGGGTCAGGGTACCTTTGAAGGAGGCGGCCCCCAGCAGGAGGATGCTGAGCCCGGCCGGGATCTCCCCCAGGAACTGCACGACCTTCCCGCCCGTCCGCTGCTGCGCCCACTGGTTGATCTCCTGCAGATCCACCTGGGCGTTTCCGCTGAGCACCCGGGGCCGGAAGCCGTAGGATTTCTCCAGCTCCTTCACGAAGGCCATTCGCATTCGCAGCTCTGAACGGGGAGAGAGCCCCCGGCTGAGCCCCCGGGGCCCCCGGCTCTTCTGCCCCCCCCCAGCTCTCCCCCCTCCCCCGGGGGCCAGGGAGCTTTACTTCTCTCCATCACCAGGCGGGAGGCGCTCTTGAGGCCCTTGCGGGGGCTGCCCAGGCTGCCCAGGAGCCCCCTGTAGGTGCTGTGTAGGTTGGCCTTGTCCAGCGTGTCGTAGAAAAGGGCCCGCGAGATCACGTCTTCGGCCCGCTCCGCCGCACCTGCCAGCCAGGGAGAGAGGAGAGAGGGAGGGGCAGACTGTTAGGGTCCCCTCGGGGGACGATCCTGGCCCCGAGTGGCCCCAGAGGGGAGCTCACCCAGCGAGAGGCCGGAGAGGGCCGTGGCGACGCTGAAGGGGGAGAGCAGGACGTTGGCCGAGGGGGCCTGGCTGGACTGCTGGCGGAAGAGGGCGTAGCCAAAGTTCGAGACGGCGGCAGCCAGTTTGTTGACGGGGCTCCTGTAGAAGGGGTCCTCCTCCTCCTCCTCCTGCTGCTGCTGCTGCCCAGCTTCCCTCGAAGGGTCCTTGGAGACAGGGAGGGGGACTCGCTTAGGGTGGGGGTCCCGTTGCAGCAGTCCCGGAGGCTTCCCTGCTGCGGAGAAAGTGCACCCTGCGCGGGCAGCCCACCCCCTGGGTGGAATGGCAGGGGGGGGTCTCCCATCTGAAGGCCCCCATCCATCGTGCTCCCCAGCCGCTCCCAGCCTGAACCGAAAGACCCCGGCTGACCTGGGGGCTGCTTGCAGGGCTTCCTTCTTGGCTGTGGGAAAAGGCGACCAAGGCAGCCAGTCCCAGGAGGACCATCAGGGGTTTCATGGTGGGACCTGTGGGGGGGGGGAAGGAGGAGGGACAGACAGACAGACAGACAGAGTGACTGCGAGGGAAGATGGGTGGCCAGAAAATACTCCGGTCTGAGGCCCCTGCCTGGCCGGAGGGTCTCAGCCCTCTAGGCCACCCTTGTCCCAGAGGGGCTTTTCCGGAAGGTGGCTGGACTTTTGGGGGTTTTATTCCCCTTGAAAGCATTTTGTTTCTCATCCAAGAAGCATCTTCTGTTCTCCCTCAGTTTGTGGGACGAGAAGTGATTGTGAAGACAAACCCCCCAGAAAGCCCCGCTGCCTTTTGGGGAAAGCCCCTTTGGGTCGGGTTCTGCCCTTTTCCCAGCGGCCCCACAGCCCCTCCTGGCGCTTCCACGCTTCCCCTCTTCAGAAGGGAAGCGGCACGGCTGGCAGAGTGGCTCCCCCAGGCCTCTCGAAGGCCACCGAACGAACGCAGGCCTGGCGGGTATAGCTGGATGCTTTTTGTCACATTCGGGAAGCGCCCCTTCCTTCCGCCCAGAGCCTCCGGAGTGCAGAGCTGCCTCTTGGGCTGGAGGTGGGTTTTCAAGGGCTCCGATTTATCTCTTTGATCTTCATGCCGTTAAGTTGTAAATAAATATTTGAACTTAGTGGAACGATACTCAGTTTTGTTTCAGTGATTCAGCAGGTCAACTCAAATGTTTTTATAGTGACATTTTACCTTATTTGTGCTTTACGTTTGTTAATTGCCTCTATGCTATTTCTGTCACCTGCCTCAAGCAGTGTTTCTCCCCCTTAAGCATCAAGTAACCAAATAAATCAACAGCAGGAGCTTTTAGTCTCGCCAGCTTTTCTCGATGTAGGGAGATGAATTGTGACCCTCAGCTCTGAGTGCAGCGGAGGAGGAGGATGAAGCCTTTCGCTGAATTCCCAAAAATCCTCTGCCTTCTCAGAACTGCCTAAAGGTCCACTTTCCCCATCCTGAAATCTGGACACGGCACACGGACCCAGTCAAAAAAGCCACCGTGCGTGGAGAACATGGGACATTTCCATGTGTTCAATTGGGGGGGGGGGGGGGGGCGGCTTCATTATACCTTTGCCAGACTGGAGGTCCTATTTAAGACTTGCCCAGGAGAGCGTGAGCAGCCGTGCCTTGAGGCCTCCCCCCCCCCCCTTGTCGACCAGCCTTAGGCAAGGGGCCTAATTGGTCTCTGGCTTCCAGGCTGCTTCCCAGAGGCCAGGCAGGGTTGGGGGGATGCAGAGACCCCCGTTTCCTGCCAGAGGCTTTTCTGGACAAGGGAGCAGGTTGGCCGGTTTCTGGCTCACATCTGGCCGCTGCTTGGAGAGGAGGAGCTGGGACCAGGCCTCCTCGTGTCCAAAGGGTGAACCGTAACCTCAGCCACAGGCTGGCGCCACCAGAGCTATGTGGAAATCTCCAGAAGGCTGCAATTACGAGAGAAGCCGTCCCAGGGCAGCCCATCTGCACAAACTGCCAATTAACTCGGGTGCTGCCTCTCCTGACAACAGCAGAAGGAGCCGCCGAGGCCCAAAATACGCCCTTGTGGCAGATCTGGTTGATCCGTGGCGGCTTCTCTCTCTCAGGGCAGGGAAGGCAGGCCTGGAACCCTGGCTGGGTCCTTCTTGCCATCCCCAGGCCAGAGTTTCCAGATTTTTCCTCTGGAGTCCCACTGGATTCAAGTGAGCCTCAACATCTGGGTTCAATTAGCCCAGATCTGGGCGTCAGCAGGCAGCGCAAGGGAAGCAAGCGCGCCTCGGCTGTTCCTCCACCCTGCCTCTCGAGAAGAAAGCCTTTCTGGGGTCTGCCACAAAGAAGAGGGGTCACCCTATTCTCCAAAGCATCTTGAGGGCAGAACAAGAGGAAACGGAGGAGGAATTTCCTAAGAGTGAGGACAATTGACCAGTGGAACAGCTTTCCTCTAGAGGTTGTGGATGCTGCATCCCTGGAGGTTTTCCAGAAGAGATTGGACAGCCATCTGTCTGGAATGGTATTAGGGTCTCTTGCTTGAGCAGGGGGTTGGACTAGAAGACCTCCAAGGTCCCTTTTAGCTTTGTTAATCTGTTAAAAGACCAGGGGACCCTGAAGTGTTTGGCCAGGGCGAAAGCTGCCAAGGGAGGCAGAGGGGTTGGAAGCCAGTCTCTTCCCCAAGGGGGGCTGCAGAGCGGAGGCAACCTCCCCGGGCCCGGTATGCCGGCTGGGCACAAGAGGGTTTGCCCAGGCACGTGGCAGAGATGGGCTGGCTGCGCACCAGCCTGGCTTCGAGGGCCTGAGGCTTCGATGGCTCCTTGCCTCCCCTTCGCCTCCCCCGGCGTTCCTTCCTGCCAGCTCTTCCTCTCTCTTCCTCTCTCTCACCTGCGCATGCATGGACTCTGGCCTGAGGGAGGCAGAATCACGCCTTACCTTCACCAGCCGCTCGCTCTCCAGCCGGCCCGCAGGGCGGTGTGCGCAGGGCAGGGGGAGCCTGGCGTTTATAACAGGCACAGGGACGGCAAAAGGCTTCAAGTTACAGCTTTGTGGGGTCCCTCTTAAAGCAGCCGCCTCCTCTTTCCAAGCCGGCCCTCCGTCAGCCAAGCGGGAAGGTTCCTCAGAATCCAAAGGGGTGTCGGGCAGCCGGATCTTCCTCCGTCCAAATAGTTTCAGTTGGAACATGGCCAGTTTAAAGAAGTTGGAACTAGGCCTTGGGCCGTTCCAGTCAGGGTTGGGTTTGCACAAACGCTAAACTTGGTTACTGAAGAAGTCGGCTTCTGAGCTGACCCTGCAGCTCGAGGGCTGGGGAAGAAGGGAAGGTGCTGGGGGGGGGGCAGTTCCGTCTCTGAGGGGCTTTCTGCATGGGAGACCCAGCCGAGGATGTCAGAGCCAAGTCAGGACATGGGATGCCACCAAAGCTGCCAGGCGGGGCAGTCGAGGGTGGGCCTGTGGGTGCAAGAGGTGCCACCCAGGAGGTGTGGGGTGAAGGCCGATGGCTCCGGGGCCCTGAGAGAGGAGGGTCGGCTCCCTGGGGGCCTCTGGAGAGGCACGTTTGCCCCAACCCCCCCCCCCCCCACACCCGAGGGAGCCTGCAGGCCCTTCCCAGGGGGGGGGGGGGGGGGGGGGCACAGATGCAACTATTTCCCCATGGAAAATGGCCTCCAGGACTGACGGCATCTTGGAGACCAGCCCCTGCAGTGGAGCTACTGGCAAGCAGGGAGTCCTCGACTTAACAACAGTTCATTTAGTGACCGTTTAAAGTCACAACGGGATTGAAAAAAGGAATTGTGGCTGTTTCCCACACTTAGGACCGTGGCAGCATCCTGAAGATCAGGGGAACCAAATTCAGGGGTCGGCCCCTGGCCTCCACTGACTACCGCGGCAGTGTCCTGGGGGTTGGGGGAGGGGTATCGCGTGATCATCTTTTGGACAAGCCAAGTCTACGAGGAAGCCAGATCCGCTTAACCACCATGGTAACAGCTTCATTCACTTCACAACTGTGGCAAGAAAGGTCATAAAACGGGGCAAAACGGACTTAAACATTTCACTCAACCACAGCAACTGCCTTGGGCTCAATTGGGACGGCAGGCTGACGACTCCCCGCATTTCCTTTGGCGGGGGGGGGGGGAAGCCTCCGAGGGGGATTAACCTCCGCTGCCTCGCCTGCTGGCGTCTTGAAGGAAAGGTGGTTCCCTCTGGAGGGAGGACATGGCCAGGTCAGTTGGAGAGCCCAGGAGGGTCTCCAAGGACGGCCAGAAGCAGCCACAAAGCCTCTCTGGGCCCTGGGAGAGAGGGACAGGGGGGGGGGGGTCTTTCTCTCCCAACCTCCACTTATCCAGACCTTTCTCTGGAGACGAGGCAACGCGGGTGACCCCCACGTTGGGAAGCTATTCCAGGCCCCCCTCTTTCGGGGACCTTTGCGGAAATGGGGCCCTCCTCTCCAAGGAGGGGAGACTGCAGGCCAGCCATAAACCCCCCCCCCCAACCCAACCCCCCCGGGCCCACCCCCCCCCGCCCCCGGCCCCCCCTGACCCCCCCGTTAAGGTCACAGCCCCGCCCGGGCCCCCGGGCTGCGGCCCCCCCCCCCCACATGGCTGCCTTCCTCCCCACCCTCCCCACCGTGTCAACTCTGAAGCTGGCCTAACCGGCCATCTTGGAGGCTTCTGCGTGGCCAGACTGGAGCTGAGGGATAGGGAGGGGGCAATAGAGATAGGCAGGGCTTTGTAGCCAAAACAAAATCATTTCTCCTGGGAACCAAGGACAATCCCAGAGGTGGCTGAAGAGAGGAGTGAAGTTTCCAAGCAACCGGACAGCACCTTGATTGGACATTGTGACTGTTTGGGAAAGGGGGAAAACTTACTTTTAAATAGGTGAGTCGGTTTTCACCAGTCTGTGCCAATACGATATATCCAATAAACCTGTTGAGGAACCTACTTGCCTGGGAGTTTTGTTTGGGTGTATTACAAAAGGAAGAGTTCTGAACTGGGCCAAAGGACTATCACTCCCAGCACCCTTTTTCTAGAGCAGAGCTGGCTGGGGAATTCTGGGAGTTGAAGTCCACAATGCTTGAAGTTGGCCAAGGTTGGACACCCTGGTCTGGACGCTGGACCAAGGGCCCGACTGCAGGCGGCTCTTCTGCCTGTGGAGGTGGGAGGTTCCCTTCCTCAGTTCCTCTCAATCGCCGCCTGAGCTGCTGCTCCCCACCGGATCTTCTGGCAGCAACTAAGCGGATTTGCCAGACCACCATGCAGGGCCTCCTGGGCTGGAAGACCTCCGGTCCCTTCCAGCCCCTTGTCATCCTGGCTCTCGGACCCTGTGGAGACCGGAGTCTCTGCCCACCGCCTCCTTCCGCTGACTGCAGGCAATCCTCCATTTGCGACCGTTCGCTTAGTGACCGTTACAATGGCACAGAAGGCAGTGACCAATGGCCATTTTCCGTGTGGTCACTGGATCAAAATTCAGGTGCTTGGCAACTGACTCGTGTTTATGACGGCTGCAGTGTCCCAGGGTGATGGGATCCGGCAAAGTCAGTGGGAAAGCTACTGATCCACTTAAGAACCGTGTGGCTAAATTAACAAGTGCGGAGATTCGCTTAACAACAGTGGTAAGAAAAGTCATAAAATGGGGCAAAACTCCCTTTACTCTCGCCTAGCAATGGAAATGTTGGGCTCAGTTGTTGTAAGTCAAGGACTGCCTGTTTCTACCCATCCCCCCGCTTCGCCCGCCTGGCCCTGCGGAAGGGAAGGAAGGAGACGGAGGCACCCTGAGAATCATTGCAGGTTTATTTTTGCCTTGTTTCCCTTACAATCGTCCCCGCTGAGCCTTCCTCTCTTCGTCTCCGCCTGAGCTGTGAGCGATGGCGCATCTCACCTGCTCTGACCGTTTGACCAGAATGAAGAGAAAGGACAATTTGGAATCAGATTGTGATCCGGGAGGCTCTTAGGACGGCCCGGTTCATGGTCCACGTTGCCACCCTGGCCTTTTGGAGGCAGGGGCGTCTGAAACAAAGGCAGGTGGCAGGGAGGGCGGGGGGCTTCCGAGGAGGGTAGACTGAGGGGGGGCTTGGGGGGGGGGGGGGCAGGCCAGGCCAGATGGGGAGCCCAGGCATCGGGCAAGCTGAGGTGTCGGATTCCACTCCAGGACCCAATGATGGCCGAGGGAGCCCCCCCCCCTCAGTTTCAAGATTGGGATAGATCCAGCCCCTTCCGGAGTCCCCAGCTGGGAGGGTGATGCGCTTTGGGGTCTTCTGGAAGGCCGGACTGTCTGGGAATTGGGGGGGGGGCGGCCCGGTGGCCCTCCAGGGACCGACAGGCAGGATTTCCTTCTCACTGAGGGGGTCCTGGCCCGTCTTCTCCCGGGGAGCCCCGGGGCTGGGATTCCGGACGGTGCCCAGGAAGAGGGGGATGCCCATCACGTCCTCCGTGATCATGAAGAGGAAGGGCCGGTCGAGGGAGAAAGCCGAGATCGAGCGCGAGGCGATCACGCTGGTGGCTGCTGCCGCCTGCACTCCGGCCTCAGCCAGCTCCAGGGTGGCTCGGTGCTGGATGCTGGAGACCACCAGGGGCCCCTCGGCGATGTGGTGGAGGTCTGGGGCAGAAAAGAGATCCCCGAGGCCTGGAGGGAAGAGAGGAAGCCACAACTGAAGAGCCGGCAGACGCTTTCCCGTGGCTGGGTGGGGGGGTTGCCCCTCGGGCTCTGCTGCGGGGCTGGGCAGCCTGTCGGGAGAGGCCCCCCTGCCTCTTGCAGCCTCTCCAGGCTGGAGGTGCTCAGAGGGACCCCAATGGGGCTTCCCCCGCAGAGCCTACCTGCTCATGGGCTTCTTTTGGACAGAGGGCTTGGCGCGAGGGGGAGGGGGAGGAAAAAGCTCTGGGTGAAGGCCAAATAGAAACCTCTGCTCAACAGCCACAGCAGGAAGAAGCTCCGGTGTGTGTGTGTGTGTGTGTGTGTGTGTGGCAGGCCTCCCGCCCCCTGCCTGGGCGTCTCTCACCTAGCCGAGTTAAGGCCCCGTTGAGGTCCACATAGTCCTCCAAGTGCAGCTTCGGCACCTTCACCTTGGTGGGCGTCTCCAGGGGGAAGGCCTTGTCCAGGTCGAGCTGGAGGACCTCGGAGAGAACCTGGGAGAAGTTCTTCTGCAGGTGGAGGGCCGGGACAATGGCCACGAAGGAGGCGTTGCCTTTAAAGGGGAACCTGGCAACCTGGAGGAAAGAGCGGAGGAGGGTCCGAGAAGGGCAGGACCCTCCACTGTGAGGCTGGCACAATCACGGGGGCCTGTGGGGAGGGGCTCTTCCTCTCTCGCAGGAGCCCCCCCACCACCACCGCCTCCAGGCAGGGCAAGTAAGTGCAAAAGCCCCCGTGTCGTGGCTGCCATTCTCCTGAGCTACAGAGGGCAAGCTGACAGCCTGACACCAGTTAACGGGGGGGGGGGGGGG